GTATCTTTGAATCTTAAAATTAGTTATCTCCCTTAAATCATACCCCACCCCCCCTCTCTCTCTCATAAAACAAATTTGTCAAGTGACTTGGTAATAGCTTATTTCTAGCTTTAAATAGAAATTGTGCTGTTTGGAATTCTATCATATCATAAAGCTTCATGATTTTAGACATTAGAAATAGTGTGTTCTCGATATCCAACTTTATGAATTATTCTGATGGCTCTTTTTTGCAATATGAACAGTGGCTCTAGTGAACTTTTATATGTGCTTCCCCATACCTCTAAACAGTAAATTAAATGAGGTAAGACCAAGGAACAGAACAGAGCCTGGAGTGATTTGCAATCTAAAAAAAAATTAACACCGAAACAGTAAGTACAAACATACAACATTTAAATTTAAGTGGCATTTTTAATTCAAATCCCAGCGACACAGATTTACTTCGGTGGATGAAAAACCCCTTTTTTCTCAATTGTATACTCTTAGTTGTCAGAGTTATAATAATTTGCTCAACATCTGTATCACGGTTGGATGAAAACATAGAAATTGCGTTATGTTATCACATAAAATCCCAATAAAATGTTTCCTACTTTGTGACAAAATGTCGTGAGGTTAAAACTCTTTTATGAAGCGCTGTATTTATTCAAACCCAAGCTGTAACCTGTTGTCATACGTATCTCAAGAATGTTCTTGTGTCTTTTCACCCATTAGGTCTGTTGTCCGTCTTGCTGCCAGTCTCTTAACTAAGCTAGTGGACAGCCTTGCCCCCAGTATTACTAGTATTTTAGTGCAAGGCAAGCAGGTAAGTGGACACACAGACAGAATGGCCTGAATAAAGTCAAACCCCTTCTGTTTAAGCAGTATGTTGGGGGAAAACTGTTGGTGGCAGGTCAATGATTTTAATGTTCACTGATCGGAAGCGTAGGAAAATCTAGATAGTAGATCTTTGAAGGCTCCTCATGCTGTTTCCTATGGGAATTATTTGGGCCAGCTGCTTGCTCACGCCCCTCATCACAGCTTACATCCACTGTGTTTGATCCAAGCTGTAGTTGCAGTTTGCAGCAAAGCTACAAGCGTAACAACCCCCCACCCCTCCCCAACAACGCCATAATTTGCACCTTGTACGTGCCGATTGATTCTCTGTGACTCATGAGTTGTATAGATTCACCACCTCATACCAGACGACTCTCGATTCAACGTTTTCTGTCAAGTGGGATTCGGAGATTAGCCTCCTCTCAAGAGTGTCAGTAATCTTGCTGCATTTCTACCCTTCTGAATACTTTTAGGCATTTCATTATGTTGAAGTAGCTCAAGGTGTGAATCTGCATATAGATTGCCAATGAGGCAAAAGGGTAGGCTCCTCTCAACATGATTGGAAAAGCTGATTTAAAATCGGAGACGGGCGAGCGCCTCTCCTTACATAAAAAGCTAAGTAGAAAGAAAACGAGTCGCCGTCCCATTTGAGGAAGTTTTTCTACTGATTGTATTTCACATCGCTTTTGAAATCCAACAATAGATTCTTCATAGAATCCAAAACATATTTCTGCCTTCCGTGCTCTGCTGGGATCAGTTTTAGATCTAAGGATGAATGATCCGCCTCTCCGAGTCGGATTTCATCTACTGGAGGCAAAAAGATAAAAGTGTTTGTTCTCATCAGTGAAATTACCCGGGCGTCATTTTCATGAGATGCTTCTGAGCAAAACTACAGAGGTGTCGTGTTTTCTCTCACTTATAAGTGACTCGCAGAGAGGAGGCCAATTTCAAAGAAAGGGAGCTAGACATTTTGTGTATTGTGTTCAGTAGCCGATGCATGTGCAATCTTCCATGTTTTGTTTTTATGCTGAGAGGCTTTTTCACAATAAGGAGCGTCTTTGTTTGTGTTCACCTGATCACCAGGTGACCCTGGGCCTGTTTGGGCACGAGGAGGAGGTGATCTCCAACCCGCTGTCTCCAGGAGTTATCCAGGGCATCATTTACAGCAAGTGCTGCCCCCATGGTGGGGAGAGGGAAGCTGTCCTCCAGCAGGAACTGGTCATCCACATCGGATGGATTATCTCCAACAACCCTGAGCTGTTCAGCGGCATGCTGAAAATCAGAGTCGGGTGGGTAATATCAGCGTTAGAGGGTGAATTTGAACCCTCATCTGCTCTTTCGTGTCTCATCAGTTGGGATTTTCTCCCCTCCTTACTGGTGCTGACCAGATGATGGAGTTAAATGACCTGAGTGAAGTTGCCCCCCCCCCACCTTTGACACCAATTGGTGTCAAACGTTTGTGCTGGTTTGTGCAGCAAAAATTTTCGTTTGTGCCATTATCGTTTCTTCAAATCAGACGAAATGGGTGTCAATTAACTCAGCTCCGTTTGTGCTGCTTTGGCTTTGAAGATATTAATGAAAATGTAAAGGTCAAAAGGTCAGCCAGCCCCCCCACCTTCTTCAAATCAGACAAAATTAGTGTCAAACGTTTGTGCTACGTTTGTGCAGCAAAAATTTTTGTTTGTGCCACTATCGTTTTAAAGATATAAAGAGATGTTTCTAGAGGTCATTAAAGGTCAACCCCACCCCCCACCACCACCTTCTTCAAATCAGACGAAATGGGTGTCAATTAACTCGGCTCCGTTTGTGCAGCAAAAATTTTCGTTTGTGCTGCTTTGGCTTTGAAGATATTAATGAAAATGTAAAGGTCAACCAGCCCCCCCACCTTCTTTAAATTAGAAAAAATGTGTGTCAAACGTTTGTGCTGGTTTGTGCGGCAAAAATTTCCGTTTGTGCCGCTACCATTTTTTTACAGTTTAAAATGATATAATCATAGGTTAGCTTAACTTATAATTTATATGAAGTTCAGAGTTTCAGAATGAACAAATGTTCACTGACCTTTGATGGCTTCTACAATTATTAATATCATTAAAATAATAGCAGTACAAAAAAATTATAGATTTTAAAATGTGCATTTTTAATTTTTTTATAAATTAATTTCAAATATTT